GCACCACTCCCGGCCTGAAAAAAATGCAAAACGGATCGGATCACTTCCAGACAGTCGCGCGATGTAGACAGATGTACAGATAGACAGATGGACCAGTTAACATGGACCAACAATCTCACCAGTGTTGCAGGATCACCACGGTTGCCTTTTTTGCAATACATGCGTTCCTGTCTTCCGTCTTTGAATTATTGCAAGTGCGAACTGAGCAAAACAAAATCCTTACTGTACGGGAGAAACCGTACTACCATTCAGCCCCGTAACATTCTTTCCATAGGGGAAACTTTGGTCGCTCTGCGGGACGGGATAAAATTATCCGATCGGAATAAAATTTTGCACACATCCTTGTGTCATAGTATCGACAAAATTTCCGACCCGGCCCGACGAATCCGACAAACTTTTCCAAAATGGACCACCCTAGTCTCCAGTGTTGTGCCTCGAACTAAGTGTAGTGATCCGAAATGATGTCTACACAAAACCATAGAGAGACTTCCGCCGAAGGACCAACAGAATCAACAGAGCCTGACCGCTGTGTTCAAAGCAAAGTTGAGAAAAAAAAAGTATGCAACCATGTCTTCATCCACTGTTGGCTGAGTACTTGTTTACCTTAGATGTGCACTTCATAATTTTATATTGTTCTGTTTTGATTCCCTAAAAAGAGCTGTTGAAGGAGCTGTTGTGTGACAAAATATTTTTTTCACTGTTGTTGATGGACAGTAATATTGTGTGAGAGATTATGTGTGAATAACTGCTCCAAGTGAAAAATGTTAATGTAAAATTGAAAATCGAAATTGTTGTTTCAGTAAATATTTGCATTTTGCACATAGAAAACTGATCCATGATTCCATGTTGATGAGAGCATTAAAACGGGGAAAAATAGGACAAAAAATATAAAAGGAAATTAAGAAACGATAAAAAATGTGTGAGTAATCACGATTAATTATGAGTTAATTATGACAGTTGCGTTTGTAATCATGATTAAATATTTTAATTATTTGACAGCTCTAACATATATATCAGTGGCAGGCCGTGCATTTCAAACTTAGGCCTTCATTAAGAAACGATAAAAAATGTGTGAGTAATCACGATTAATTATGAGTTAATTATGACAGTTGCGTTTGTAATCATGATTAAATATTTTAATTATTTGACAGCTCTAACATATATATCAGTGGCAGGCCGTGCATTTCAAACTTAGGCCTTCAGTGACGTCACATACATGAACACAATACTGTATAAGCTCGTCAAGCAGCACTTAATTTCAGGAGCATTTAAAACCATCAAGTATGCATTCACAATTAAGAGCAGGAAACTAAATTTACAGATAGTCAAAAATAAAAAGATGATTTAAAAATACGAAATAAAATGCCACCCAAATTACGCTGTGTGATCTTAAACAAGTCTGTCCAATAAATTGCGCAATGTCGCAGTTTCATATAAGACACCAACCAAACAATAACAAAACAAATTGTTCTTTGAAAATAAACAGATCATTTGCATTTTGAAAATCGGCGATACAACAGCAAATAACTGACATAACTGACTAACTAATAACTGACGAACAGCTGAGATTGAACGAACTTTCGTGCACGAACGTGA